GCTCAGCCCAGCTCAGCCCAGCCCTGCTCTGCTCAGCCCAGCTCAGCCCAGCCCAGCCCTTCTCAGCCCAGCTCAGCCCAGCTCTGCTCTGCTCAGCCCAACTTAGCCCAGCCCTGTTCTCCTCTGCTCAGCTTAGTCCAGCCCAGTCCAGCTTAGCCCAGTTCAAATCAACTCAGCTCAGTCAGCCAAGTCAGCCCAGCCCAGCTCAGCTCTGCCTGGTCCAGCCCAGTTCAGCTGAGCCCATCTCAGCCCAGTTCAGATCAGTCCAGCACAGCTTAGTCCAGTCCAGCCTAGCACAGCTCAGCCCAGTGAAGCCCACCCAGCTCAGCTCAGCCCAGCCCCTCAGCCCAGTCCAGCCCAGCTCAGCCCAGCCAAGCTGAGTCCAGCTCAGCTCAGCCTAGCTCAGCCCAGCATAGCCTAGTCCATTTCAGTCCAGCTCAGCCTGTGCGGTCCTGCTAGCAACCCCAGCACCGTGCAGTTCTGATCAGCCAGTGGCCTGGGCCCAGATCTCAGGACCAGTGGGAAGAGACGAGGCCAGATCTAGAGCAGCCTAGGAGGGTGCTGCCTTGGTGTGACACCCTAGGGCAGGCACGCACCTCTGGCCATGCTGGGCCATCTCAATGGCTCGCCGCGCAGGCACCGGGGAGCCGCCATCTGTCACGCTGAGCACCTCCATGGACTTGCGCTCGGGCCGCCGCTTGCCGTGCCGGTTCAACATCGGGGAGTCCACACGCTTCCGGGGAGGGTCTGTGTGCAGACAGGGGTCAGTCCTGGCTTCAGCAGGCCCCAGGACTCAGCATGGGCTGGAGGCCTCATACCTATCTCATTCCTGGGGGGTAGGTCCTCGTCCTCATGGCTGGGGTACCGTTCTTTCCGGTCCAGGAGGAGGAAATAAATCATTTTTTCCTGGTTCTCCCTGTTTTAGGCGAGAGGCACCAGGAGGGTTGGCTCCCAAACACTCCTGGACAGTGTGCCTGCCCGTGGTCCAGGAGGACTCTGCCTCTGGCTGCCTTCCCCAAAGCTGCCAGAGCTGGAGCGTGGAGCCCATGGCCAAGCCAGCCCCTCCTGCCCACCCAGGACATACTCCTCAGAGAGCAGGTCCTGCAGCAGCTTGTTGCGGTCTCGGAAGCAGCCCAGGGAGTGCATGCTGTCCAGCACGTCGGGGTCGATATCCTCCAGGCTGGGCAGTGAACGGATCTGCACCTTTCGGGGGATGGGCTGCTCTGGCTCAGGCTCATTTTTGCCTCCTCTGTGGACAACACAGCACCAGGGGTCACTCACTCCAGCTAGCCCGAGGCTACTCCACCCACCCTAAGGTGGCCAGGAGGGTGGGAGGCCCGCCCTCATCTGGGCCCCTGAGTCCTGTTGCTGTCTCTATGACCAACCCCTGCAGGCCTCCTGCCACACCAGCACAGGACAGCTGACAGCAAGGCTGGGGCAGCCCACGCTGGCCAGTGCCCTCCCCCCTCCTCACAGGCCCTCCAGGCCACAGCAACAGGCAAAGCGGGCGTTAGTGGTCAGAGAAGCTACTTACATATACCATATGTGTTTCTGAATGTGCTCTAGCTACAAGGAAAGAGAGAAAGGGAGTTAGTACGGGGGCGCCCACGTTAGGAGGCAGGGAGAGCAGGAGCGGGGAGGCAGGGCGGGGCCCAGGCCAGCACCCCTGCCCTGCCTCCCCAGGTGCAGACGGAGTGCAACCAGGGGAGGGGGTTGGGAGGGTGGGGCAGGGGCAGGGCCTGGGAGGAGGGAGGTAGAGGAGCCAGCAGAGCACTCCAGGCAACTGCCCAGGCCAGGTTCTCCTGGATTCCCAGGGCAGAGAGGGAAAGCAGCCCAAGCCAGGAGGGCCAGGTGGCAGGGAGGGCTGGTGGTGTGGTCAGGAGGCCAGGCAGCCCCACTACAGCCCTTCTCCACAGATTCAGTGACAGCTTGCTCGGGGGAGAGACAGCTCCTCCTCCTGGAAAGCCAGCCCAGAGGGCACTTGCTCCTCTCCATGGGCAATGGCCGTCCTGCCAGGAAGGCCCCCGCCTGATGCAGCCACCTTCGGGGAAGGCCTCACTTTGCCCAGGGGCTTCCCCAGGACACCAGAGGCAGGACAGCAGTTAGGGAGATGCCCAGCGTGGTCACCAGCATTTCCCTGTCACACAGGCACAGGCCTGCCACCCACCTGAGCACTTGGGCATGCCCACGCACACCTAGGCAAAACGGCTCTGACACACATCTGTGCACACACCCACCTCTGTATAATCCCACACCTGGGCACACAGCCGAGCACACATCCCTGCACAGGCTCTCTCATATCTGTACACGCACACTCTGATACACACTCATACACCCGAGCACACTCATCTGGCATGTGTTCTCCCATCCTATGCACAAGGACCCTGGCTCACACTGACCTACACCTGGCACACACACCCTGAACATGCACACCCCGGCACACACTAACCCACACATGGCATCTGGCACACACTGACCACACCTGGCACACACACCCTGAACGTGCACACCCCTGGCACACTCCCACACCTGTGCACACACACTTGCATGCACTCTTTCACAACTGGGCACACCCACCCCTGGCACATGCTGTCCCACACCTGTGCACACTCACTCCCACCCCTGAGCACACATGCTCCTGGCACACAATCCTGGAACAGTCACTCCCACACCTGTGCACACACCCATGGTACATGCTCTTCCACACCTGGGCACACAAACCCTGACACACCTGACCCACACCTGGCATACCACCCCTGGCACACACTCTCCCCCACCTGTGCACATACCCTGGCAGACGCTTTCCCACACCTGGGCACACAAAACCTGGCACACCTGACCCACACATGGCACCCGGCACACTAACTCCCACAGCTGGCTCACACACTCCTGGCACACTCACTCCCACCCCTGGCACACATGCCCAAGCGTCCACACACCTGGGCACATCACTAGTCCCCAGAGCACATGCCCAAGCACTGGTGCGGTCACCCATGCACCCTGAGGAGCCCAGCCCCCTGGTGACTCCTCGGCCCAGCAGACCACCGGCAAGGGGCGGGGGCTGCGCAGGGGCGGGCCCCCAGGCGAGGTCCGGGAGGGCAGGACGCACCGTGAGGCGCCGCGCCGCGTCCACCTCGATCATGCCGCGCAGCAGGCTCTGGCAGTCGGGCGGGATGAAGTGCGGCATGTGGAACACCCCGCGCTTGACCTTCTCCAGCAGCTGCCGCAGGTTGTCGTCGTCGAAGGGCAGCGCCCCCTGTGGGCAGGCAGGCTCGGTCACGGCGGCCCGCGGGCACGGGGCGGGGCGGGGGCGGGGCGGGCGCTCACCACCAGCAGGGCGAAGAGGATCACGCCGCAGCTCCACACGTCCGCCTTGCGGCCATCGTACTTCTCCCCCTGCGGGCGGGCGGAGGGCAGCGGGTCGGCGGGGGCAGGGCTGGGGTGGCGCGGGCCAGGCCCGGCCGGGCGGAGGCGCTCCAACCTACCCACCGGCCCCTTCCACCACCGGCTGCAGCGCGAACTTACCCGGATCACCTCCGGGCAGGCATAGTGGGGGGATCTGAGGACAAAAGTGGTGGGTCAGCGAGCGGAGGCCACGACCGGCAGTCCAGGCCCCGCCCCGCCCAGAGGCATTCCCCTCCAGCCCGGGCCTGGGAGGACGCCCAGCGGGCCCCTGGCTCCCAAGGAGGCTCCCACGACCTAAATCCCCACATGCTCTGCGGGAGCCGAGGCCTGGAGCCCAGAACCACTACCCATCCGTCTCCCTCCCCACCGCAGACAGAGACGCTGGGGCACCACTCACCCGCAGCTGGTCTCCAGGAGGCTGTCCCCCACCTGCAGGGACGCCATGCCGAAGTCTGCGATCCGGATGTTGTTCTTCTCGTCCAGCAGCAGGTTCTCTGGCTTCAGGTCCCTGTGGCTGGGGAGGGAGGCCCGGGCTTGGCTCGCCAAGGTCCCACACCCTCCACTGGGCTTCACAGACAGCGCTTGACCAACTGCAGCCCTCCCTCAAACCCCCATCCTGAGCTGGACCAACGGTGGCCAATGCCAACCCGCGTGCCTGAGAGAAGGGGAGGTATCCTGGCCCAGCGTGCTGGGGTCCCGGCAGTGGCTCTGAGCGCCCTGGGAAGTGCCCCAGGGAGCTGTGTGGACACTGGCCTCGGGCTGGGGCCGCACCATATGGAGTGACTGTGGCAGAAGTCCAGCGCGGAGATGATCTGCCGGAAGAACTTGCGGGCCTCCTTGGGGGTCAGCCTCCCCTTCTTCACCAGGTAGTCGAACAGCTCCCCCCCGGACACGTGTTCTAGCACCAGGTATCTGCAGGACAGGGGGCATCAGCAGCCGCACTGCCACATCCTGGCACGCACACCCTGGCCCTCTTGCGCAAGCCTAGGGAGCCCAGGGTCTGGGTGGAGGACAGGCTGGGTCTCTGGTGGACCTGAAGCAGTGCAGGTGGGCTGGGCTCTGAGGGGGTGGTGCACTGGCGATGCCCTGTCCCACCCTTCACACCTTGGTGGCCCCCATGCAGTGGGGAGGGTTGCTCAGTGCTGCCCCAGGGGTGGGGCCATGGACCAGCAGCTGCTGTGTAGAGGGGACAGGGCTGAGGTCATGGGATGCCTGAGGAGACAGGGATCAGTGAGGGGGCACCAGGTTCAGCAGGTGGCCAGCACTGCCTCCCCATGGAGGGGGCTGTCCCATGCTCCTCCAAGCATGGCCGGACTTCAGCATCCAAACAGAACTTGCTCAGACTGGCACAGCTTGACGCTCCTCTCCCTGCTCAGGCACTTAGCCACAGGGTAGAGCCCTAGGGGCTGGCTTCTCCATGGGGGCAGCAGGGGCCACGGCAGAGTGAACTCTGGTGTTTGGTGACCTCAGGGGAGCAGCTGCAGTCCTACTCAGACTGGGGAGGGGCTCAGAACATGCTGTGTGGAGGCCCTTGAGGTGGGGCCTGGGTGTAACTTCAGGGACATGGGGCAGGTGAACAGATGGGGACAGCACAGAAGCGGGAGACACCCCCAAGTGGGTATGGGGCAGTGGCACCCAGGACAGGCTCAGCCTTGCGGCAGGAGGACCTGTCTGCACTGAGAAAGCGGACGTGTGGGCACTGGGTGAGACTCTGGGCAGGAAGGCTGGTCTGGGGAGTTTGCAGCATGCGGGGCAGGGCCCAAGCCCTGGCCACATGGTGCTCCGCAGGGCCTCAGAACAGTGACCCAGGTGAGGTTGGGACTCCCTGGGAGCACACCTGGCTTCTCTGGCCTCCCCCTGGGCTCCTCTTTCCCTGTCCTCTGTCTCCAGCCAGGCGGTGTCCCACCTGCTCTCCCCCGCCCTTCTCCCTGCTGGGAAGCCTCTCCAGAGTTGCCTTCCCATGCAGGCACCCGGCTCAGGCTTCCATCGGAGCCCAGCAGAGGTGGGAGCCAGGAGTCCTGTGCCACAAGGACGTGAGCCTGGCCTGCCCCAACCCTGCCTGTGCCCCCACCTGCCCCCACCCTGGTAGGTCAGAGAGGGCAGAAGGACGAGGTGCAGCTGTCACCCCTGCTGGGCCCCTTGGCAGCCCCCCACACGGGTGAGAGGTCCAGGTGCACTCTGCCACAGCTTCCAGGTCTGTGGTGACAGACTCCACCCACTCTACCCCATCCTTGACTGAGAGGGGCCCTTAGCTCTCCTGCCACCACGTAAACACTCAAGAGTTGGCCAGCAGTGCACTGTCCCCATCAGAGATGAGGAAATGGGGTCGAGAGAGCTCAGCAGCTTGCCCAGGACAGCATGATACTGCGTCTGCAGCAAGCCCTGGAGAGGTGGGCAGTGGGGAGGGGCTCCAGGCTTCAGGACATCCAGCACCCTTCTGCATGCACCCCTTACCTGGCCCAGACCAGCACACGGAGCTCTGCAGGCAAGCTCAGTGAGGCCAGGCATGGTCTATGCAGTGGACAGGGGAGCTGGGAGTCCCACCTAGGTATGCCAGGGTGAGAGGCTTTGTGGCCACCATGGTGGTGACAAAGGTCAGCCAGCTAGGGACCCCAGGTCCCTTGAGGGAGACTGGTAGGTGGAAGGCCCAGTGGGGGTAGGGAGCTGTGGCCACCCTGGCAGAGGAACCACAAGGCTCAAGGGCCACTGTTAGGAGGGTCCAAGTGCTCCTGCCCAACCCCTGCCCCTTTTCCAGGAAGTTTGTCCCAACCCCACAATGGCCTCAAGTTGATGGTTCTATAAGTCCCATGGGTCTGGTTGAGAAGCAATGGCCTCTGTGGCCTGAGACAAGGCTCTTCCACTGCCCACCAGAACACCCACAGAGAGATCACAGAGGGTGTGGCAAGAGCCTGTGCTGCCAGCCACATGGCCTCTCCACAACCCATCCAGCCCACACTGCAGCCAGCACCCCATCACACAGCGCTCCAATCCAGCCAGCACTGCACTACACCCCAGCACTGCACTCCAGCCTACTACTCCACTCCAGCCTGAGCTCCAGTCCAGCCGGCACTCCACTCCAGCCCATCACTCCACTCCAGCCAGCTCTGTACTCCAGCCAGCACTGCACTTCACCACAGCACTGCACTCCAGCCAGCACTCCACTGCACCCGAGATCCAGGCCAGCCAGCACTGCACTCCAGCCAGCACTTCACTCCAGCCCAGCACTGCACTGTGCCACATCACTGAACTCCAGCCAGCACTGCACTCCAGCCCAACACTCCACTCCAGCCAGCTCTGTACTCCAGCCCAATACTCCACTC